AGAGAGAGAGAGAGAGAGAGAGAGAGAGAGAGAGAGAGAGAGAGAGAGAGAGAGAGAGAGAGAGAGAGAGAGGGAGAAAACTGTAGGTTGGTGGCTAACAAATGACAACAGTGAGCCCCCTCACTCATGTCATGGTCAGATCCCAACGACCCAATGAGAGTTCTGGGAATCCAGATTAACCAGTTAGGAGAAGCCGCAGAGATGGCCCCTAGCCTGCTGGCCAAGACGATCACAAAACTCAACGCATGGGGGCGGGTTCACACCTCTCTATTCGGACGAGCCCTAATTTTAAACTCATCTACTTTCTCAATGATGTGGTATGTCGCAGCTTTCTGGAACCCCGACCATAAGGCAATGAAAGATCTTAAAAGGAAGGCCTCAGCCTACCTATGGACATGGGATGCATCTAGACAGCACTTCGTAACCAAGGTGGCGCGGCAATATGTCACAGGGAAGAAAAGTCAACGAGCCCTACCGTCTTCCCCCCAACACAATGCACCCTCATTTTGACTGCATCGGACCGGAAAGACGGCTCGTATACGTTCATTTTCAGGGTGCGTTATGTTCGGAGGAAGACGGTAGGGGTCTTGGACCCAACTAGTCAAATAAAAGCCCTCCAAACTGAAGGGGATCCTAAAATTGCTACCTCGCCCAGCCTTCCATGGAGGTCGCAGGGCTTCAGAAGGGATTCATCAACTACCCGTATACAGCACACCATTGAACATGGAGGGTTCCTTGGTCAACGAGGGGCAGATCTGAGAATGTGCCACAGACCAAAAGCGAAGCAAGGCTAAACTTCTGGCGGAGTATCATCAGAGCATGGAGAGAAATCTTCCCCGCTAAGGTAAGAAAGCCTCAAAATAAAGAGGAGATCCTCAGAGAATCGCTATTCTGTAACCCGTGGATAGCGGTGGATAAGGAACACCTTTCACGCTAACCACAAAGCACACAAGATGGGGAGCTCGGCTAGAAAAGGGAATCTGGCAAGTGAAACACGAAGGCAGGAGAAAGTGGAAGGAAGAGAATCAGAAACACGCTGAAGGGCTGCCATTATCTAGTGAATAACCTACAACAACTAACAGCCAGCATCCCTCAGGAATGGATCTCGATCCTCAAAAGTAATAGACAGTGAGCTACGGGAGAGTGGGCAGTAATGACACATGCTGGCTCACCTTGAGTATGGATATAATAGAAAACCCACATAAGGATACAGCAGGGGAAATGAAAATAGCGAGGGGCAAGTGACAGTCAGACAGGGCAACCTTAGAAAAGTAATAGTAGTTGAAAATGGTGAACTACCCCTCTACAACCCCCAAACAACTCTAGAGAATTTAGAGGTAGACCCAGCAGAATGGGCATGGAATCAGAAACAGAGAACCACCGGAATTAACTTGAAATTCAACATCCTAGTCTACACCACAAGTTTGGGTTACAAGCTAAGGGGAAGATCAACGAACCCAGATCCAGTGATAGCTGAGAGATGGTGGAAACACCTACAAACAGACCCAAGAACCTTTATTCAGATACCATGGAGAACCTAGTCGCCTCAATCCACCCACCCAAATTCAGAAGTTTGGAATGGCTTATCCTTTACCTCATTGTCCCCCTAAATCACTGGTTAAACGTGAGGAGAAGAAAAGAGGACAGATGCCCGCTAAAAGAACTTTGCGCCACTTGTACGGACGGCCAGATAGAGAATCTCTCTCACTGCTTTTCTAGGTGGCCCAAAATAGAATCTCTATGGCAAATAATTAAAAATATTTGGGAGAAAATAGGCACTATAGAATTCACAAATAATCCCATACTCCTACTGCTAGGCTTTAATACACTGGAAGAACGGCCCAACTTAGAGCAATCTTTTTCAAATTCTTAGAAAGGCATCCCTATAGTGTATTTGGAGAAAGAGGTGCCAGGAGACAATTGATAAACAGCCAGTTCACATCCAGGAGGCGTGGGGCAACAGCAGGTTGAAAAAGAATTATGGGTACTATGGCGCACAGTGAGAAGGAAAATGAGAAAAGGCGAGATCAAAGCAAATGAATACAAAAAGAACTTCGAGAACAACTACCTGGCAAGAGGTAAGATTGCAATGATAAGAGGCAATTGCCTAGTCTTCACACTATGGAAAGGAAGCTTCTTCTTTTTTTTTTTTTTTTCCCCTTAAACAACGGGCCCAGTGCCCAAGCCTTCTATTACTCAAGGAATAGAATTTGAGGCCGGGGTCCTCACAAATATACCTCAAGCAGAATCACAGTCACTCATTAGCGTCCCCCAATCCTTGGACATCCATATGAAATCCTCATAGAGAAGAGCAGTAGACGGGCTGAGCACACTACTAGGACACAGGCTAGCACACTCATCAAGCCACAGTACTACTAAGTAGGCAGGTCCAAGGAGTACGGACAAGTAGTAGAAATGACTCAGATAGGGTAAAGAGTTTTAGTAAAGCCACCTGGCTGCCTAGACCAGTTCCTCGCATCGCCAACCACCCGATAGTGCTAAGACCTAGAAAAGAACCACTAGGTTTTAGGATTTAAGCCCAGATTCAGACCTAGGATTGCTACGGTTATAAGGTTTTTAGCAGGAGTAACAGTAAACACCTCAGAAAGGGAGAGGGAAAGTTAGCTAGGGCTTCGCTCTCCAACAGAGTTTGTAGGAATCAAGTCGGGTAGGGGTTAAGGTTTTAACAAAGACCATGGCGAGGTGCCAAACCGGCGGGTCCAGCAAGTAAAGAAAATCCAACAGTCAAGGAGCTGAGAGGAACAGGCAGGTTGGGACCTGAGGGGGCAAGCTACAAGTACCAAAAGGATAGGGAAATCAGACTAGCATCCAAGAGCAGCAGTAAATTAGAGCAGGCTAACTCAGGCAGGGGTGAAGGGTGGTACATCCTTCCTTCAGGAAGTAATCAATGCCGTCCTTCGGGCCTCCACACCATAAGGGGGAGGAGCATGCATGAGTCCTTTCTGACTTGCCCGTGGAATAGGAACCGGACTGATGCTCCCCAGAATGGAAAAGGAGCCAGAACCTTAAGGTTCTGCTTCTTCTTCTTCTTCTTCTTCCTCTTCTTCTTCTTCTTCTTTTTTGTGGAGACAGCAGAGTGGATGGCCAGGACTCCACAAGGATGGTGGAAAAGTGTACGCATACTGGCATATGGGCAGGAGCTTTACCCATCAGTGGATGATTCCTGGCAACAGACATTTAGAAAGCCATAACCGCTAAAGAAAAACGAAAACGAACTAAAATGTCAAATCATGACTCAAATGTGTATATGTCACTGCATCTGAAGTTGGTCCCTTTCTGCAGCAATCTTCAGCTGCAAATGGAAAAGAGCCCTTTGGGTCAAAACTTCAAAAGAATTCGGGGAGTACAAGTGAGAGTGTGCCTTAAGTATCCGTGTGAGCATGCCCTCACGGCACACTCACAATGGTACCTTGCTTACTTTTTTTATTTTTTATTTTTAAGTACCTGGGCCTTTCGACCCAGGCAAGTGACTCGTTGGATTCATCAGTGTAGTGTGTGTGCGGCCCAGAACATCTAAGGGCATCAAAAAAATTGGAGCATTTCTTGATTTATGCATGTCATCCTTGAAAGCGCAGAGGCCATTTGCTAATTTACCCTTCTCCGTAGCGTTCCAATTTTAACGGATGTCCCTTGCTTACTATTTTACAGAAATTTGCAAACTGGAGCCACAGACAAATCTTGCCCTCGCCCATCGAGCCCCTCCGCCCACCCATCAAATGGCAGCAGTCACCAGAGAAACACGTGGCATTGTTTTGTGGGCACCACATCAGCTTTCCAAACAAAAACTGAATAAGAATTGTTCACTGGAGTAAAAGGATTCGAACCTTTGCATGTCGATATAAAATACCGATGCCTTTCCACTTGGCTATACTCCAATTGGTGAGATAAGGCAGCCAATCAACAACCTCAATTTCTTAGCTTAGGCTTGTGTGAAGGGATTCACGCTGCAAGCTTTCCCAGTCCCGGTTACAGGGTCCTGAATTATCCCAGTCCAAGGCCCCGTAGATCAGGCGTTGCAGGTTGGTAGTCTACAGTACCGTACCTGTAGGAGCACGTCAAGTCCCCAAAAGTCCAGTTTTGCAGCAGCCTCGCCAGAAAGTCCGGAACTTTCCCAAAATAGGAACTTGGCAAGGCAGAGGCCGAAGGAGATCGGTACCGATTGAAGCAGGCACACACAGCCCACTGCAACAATATATTTTGGCCTACAGTGTCGGAGGGGGGCAGTTGTTCATTTCACAAATTTGTGGAAGCACTCCGGGAGCTTGTGCAGACTAACGACCTGGACGAAGACAAACGCTGAAGGGAGGAAGAAGACCAGCGCCCTGGCTGCGACAGACCACCATAGCCAGGAGGGACGAGCCAAAAGTTTGGTGGCCATAGCCGCCCATTTGCTGTGAGACACGCCGCAGAGGCATTCAGGGTAGATATGGGACATCGTAGAGGGAGGAACAGTAGAGGGAAGCATCAAGGGATGAACAGTGCACAGACACGCACAGACAGACACAGAGAGAGAGAGAGAGAGAGAGAGAGAGAGAGAGAGAGAGAGAGAGAGAGAGAGAGAGAGAGAGAGAGAGA